CCACCTCCCCATGTGCTGGGTGAGCTCGGCGGCGATGGAGAACCCCACGACCGCCTCCCCTATGTGACCATCTGGCCTTTCTTTCACTGGGTAGGGCAACCCCGTGGGTTGAGTACCACGGACAGCCACCCAGCCCCAGCCCTCGCGGCATAGGGTGACCGCGCCCCAGGGTAATGGCCGCCTGCAGGGAAGGAACGCCCCACAGGACCACTACTGCCTAGTTGCATGCGTGTATGCATGTATGTGTGTATGTATGTATGCATGTGTATATATGCCCTGATGTATGCAGGTAGGTCGATAGGTCTGTGGGTCGGTATTTAAGTACGTGGGTATGTGTATCTATATGCCTGCATGCAATGCATGCGTGCGTGTGTGCATGTATGTATGTATGCCTGCATTTCTTTTTGCATGTTTGATGATATACGTATTTGTTTATGTATTTGTATATGTATATGTACTTCGACAAGTCTATTTGATATATCCGTACCTGTATCTGTACATGTAGATGTGTATGCACATGTACGTGAATGTGTACATGTGCATGTAAATGTATATGCGTATGCATATGTATAAGTACATGTTGTTACGCATATGTATAGGTATTTGCTTATGCATAAGTATGGGTATATGTATACGTATAGATCTACGTCTAGGTATTCGTAGACATGCATGCATGTTTTTGTATACTCATTGATACATGTGTACATGTCAGTGTATATGTTGATGCCTGCATATGTCCATCTATGTATGTGTGTTTCGGTACATGTGTATGTATATTCAGGTGATGTACCTCTGTATATCTAGGTGTAGAGCTTTATCTATTTCAAATACACATACACTCATACGCATATGTATATGTACATGTATGTATGTATGTATGTACGCGTATGTATGAATGTATGCATGTGTGTATGCATGTCTGTGTCTGTGTGTATGTAATGAGTTGTAGTGTGTTGTAACGCAATGTAGTGCAATGCAATGTAACGTACTGTATTGCAATGCAGCGTAAAGTACCGTATGCCTGTGTGTATGTATGTATGTGGTCATGTATGTATATGTGTATGTGCATGTGTACGTATACGTACATGCGTATGTTTGTGTTTGTGTGTGTATGTGTACGTGTAATTGTATATGTATAGGTTTATGTACATGTAATGTATTGTGTTATATGTAATATGCATGTGTGTATGTATTTGTAGTTGTATATGTATATGTATGTGTACACGTATGTGCATGAGTATATGGACATGTGCTTGCAGTCGTATATGTACGTGTACATGTATATGTGTATTTGTATGTATTTGCACTTGCATATACATATATACACATACACATTTATATGTATATATACGTATATACCAATGCGAATATCTTATGTCTGTGTATGTGTATATGTGTATATGTATGTATATGATTGTATATGTATATGCGTATGCATATGCGAGGGTTTATTTATAGATCTAGATGTTTTTCTATGTTTACGTGTATGTCTATGTCTACGTATGTATATGCATATGACTATGACTATGACTATGAGTATGTATGTATGTGTGTACGTATGTATGTGTATATGTGTGTATGTATGTATGTATGTATGTACGTACGTACGTACGTACGTATGTATGTATGTATGTATGTATGTATGTATATATATATGTATGTATGTATGTATATATGTATGTACGTGGTATGTATGTATGTATGCATGCATGCATGCATGAATGTATGTATGTATGTATGTATGTATGTATGTATGTATGTAAATATGATGTATGTATCTATACTTACATTGTTATATTCTATATGTGCTACGCTCGTGCTTTGCGCGGGCTCAGGTTCTAGCCGCACACAGAATATTGGCATGGAAAGAGGGCCTCAGGTTTGACGAATTTGGTTTCTCGGGGGCATTACTGAAGAGCTTCCAGGCCACGTCCAGCCGCAATTGGGCCGTCTTGGAGCCTCTTGGACGTATTCTGTAGGCTCTGTCTTGGGGGTCTTGTGGGCCCATTTTCAAGCCGTCTTGGGAGCCTCCTGGGCCGTCTGCTTGGAAGTCTCTTGGGGCCGTTGTGGGGCCTGATTGGACACCTCTTCTGCTGTCCTGGGGCCCTCTCGGCGCCTCGTGGGGCCGTCCTGTGGGCGTCTTGGGATCTATCGGGCCGTCTTGTGCCCCTCTGGGACCCTCTCGGGCCGCTCCTTTGGGGATTCGCCGTGTGGCCGTCTGTGCCTGCTCGTAGTCGCCGCTCGTCAACGCTCGTGGTGGCTTGGTGTTGCCGCCGCTCGTAGTCATCGCTCGTAGTCGCCGCGCGTCGCCGCTCGTAGTCGCGGGATGTGTGCGTCGAGGATTCATCACGAGGCCGCACGTACCCGCTCGTCGCCGCTCGTAGTCGCCGCTCGTAGGCGCTGGGTGAGTGTGTCGAGGATTCGCCGCAGCCGGCAGCTCTGAGTGGCCTGGCTTCCTCTCTTCCCGTCGCGCCAGGGCTCCTCCTCCTCCTCCCGTGCATTGCGGCCTTGGTTTGCATACAGCGTGTCCCCTGTTGCCTATCCGCCGGAGCAGTCGCCTTCTGCCCAGCCGCCGACGCAAAAAGTAAAAGTGGGTCGAGGCTTCGGCTCGTGGCCGTCCGTGCCCGCTCGTAGTCGCTGGTCGTCGCCGCTCGTGGTGGCTTGGCGCTGCCGCCGCCTGCAGATGCCCGGTCCGTCGGGGAGTCGCCGCGTGGCCGTTGCCATGCCCGCTCGTCGCTTCTCTCGTGGTCGTTGTGCGTCGCGCCGCTCGTAGTCGCTGGGTTTTTGCGGAGGTTTCGCCTCGCTGCCGCTCGTCGCCGCTCCTAATCTTCAGTCGGGCGTGTCCCTTCACGGGAGGAGTGTTCCAAAATAGTCGAACACAGGATGGGGACGGTTCCCCCATAAGTTTTAGACCATCTGTGGAATATTTTTTGGATGCTTTTAAGTTGTCGCCCAAGGCCTGCCTGTAATTAGGAGGACACGCCCGACCTGATCGTACAGTCGGGGCCCTGAAGAAGGAACCCTTTTCGTTGGGGAGGGGCTCCGCGTTCCTTGGGTGTTTCGCAGCTTGCCTCAGGGTTTCCTTATGCTTTCGATAGGAAATCGAAGTTCAACCCATGGAAAAAAGGGGCCTCGTTGCTTATTTAGGGTTCCTTAGGTCAACGCCCCGACTGTAGAGCATGGAGCACACGGCCTGCCCCACACGGCTTGCACCTTGTTTTCGATTCGGGGATCGACTACAGAATTGATTGGGGAGGCCTGACGGCCGGTGCCGCCGACCCTGATCGAAAGGGCTAGGAGTGGGGGGAGCAAGCGATGATGATGATGATGATGATGATGATGATGATGATGATGATGATGATGATGATGATGATGATGATGATGATGATGATGATGATGATGATGATGATGATGATGATGATGATGATGATGATGATGATGATGATGATGATGATGATGATGATGATGATGATGATGATGATGATGATGATGATGATGATGATGATGATGATGATGATGATGATGATGATGATGATGATGATGATGATGATGATGATGATGATGATGATGATGATGATGATGATGATGATGATGATGATGATGATGATGATGATGATGATGATGATGATGATGATGATGATGATGATGATGATGATGATGATGATGATGATGATGATGATGATGATGATGATGATGATGATGATGATGATGATGATGATGATGATGATGATGATGATGATGATGATGATTGATGATGATGATGATGATGATGATGATGATGATGATGCTGATGATGATGATGATGATGATGATGATGATGATGATGATGATGATGATGATGATGCTGATGCTGATGATGATGATGATGACGATGATGATGATGATGATGATGATGAGATGATGATGATGATGATGAGGAGGAGGAGGAGGAGGAGGAGGAGGAGGAGGAGGAGGAGGAGGAGGAGGACGGCTTGCACCTTGTTTTCGATTAGGGGATCGACTACAGAATTGATCTACCCTCAGGTGGATTGTCGAACTTGCGAAGAATACGTAGAATGCTCGCCGACCTACGGAACATGTTGCAGACTTTTCGTAGATTCGACGAGCAAGTCAGCTATGTGTAAATCAATCCTGTAGTCGACTCCCTACTCGATTTTCGCTGCGCCGCAGAGTTCGCACCACGTAGCTTCCACCACATAGTTTGCATCACGTAGCTTGCACCGCATGGATCATACCACATAGCTGTCGCCACTTAGCTTGCACCGTATGGCTTGCGCTCCCCAGCTTAGACGGCATAGTTTGTACCGCACAGCGTAGACCACATGCCTGACAGTACATGGCCTACATCGCATAGCTTGCGCCACATAGCTTACACCACAGCTTGCACCGCATAGCTTTCACTACATACATTACAACTCATACATTGCACCACGTAGCTTGCACATACTTTGCACCACATACCTTGCACATACACAGTGCATCAATTCACTGCTTGGGGTCCACGCTGGCAGACATGCATGCACATCTTTCTTTGTTGTACTCTCCACCAACTTCACAGCCGGCCCGCTGGTCGAACTCGTCCGACAGAGCGGAGGACAGGGACGAAGACGAGGTGCTGGACGTTGTCAGCCCTCTCTGGCCCTTTGGGATGATGGCGATGGTGAGGAGGAGGAGGAGGAGGAGGCTGAGGATGAACGGAAGAGGAGTGAGAGGAGATGGGATGCTCCTGCTGCTGCTGATGATGATGATGCTGATTTTAATGATGATCATGAGTGATGATGGTGATGATGACGATGATGATGCTGATGATGATGATGCTAATGATAATGATGCTGATGGTGATGCTGATGATCTGATGATGCTGCTGATGATGATGACGACGACGACAAATATGAGAGAGAGAGCGTGATCCACCGCCGCTTTACTGTGAAAAATTGCCGCCCGCCCTTCTCCTCTGGAACCCGGGGGTTCCCCCCCCCCCTCCGAACCCCCCCCCCCCCCTGCTGGACCCCCCCCCCCCTCCCCTGGCAAAACCCCCCCCCTCCCCTGACCCCTCCCCCCCTCCCCCTCGAAAACCGGAGGGGGTCACTACCGGTTCGAACCCCCCCCCCCCTTCGAGAACCGGAGGGGGGGTCACTACCGGTTCGAACCCCTCCCCACCCCCCCCTCTCACCGCCAGCAAACGACTCCCGGTCCCTACCACTGTCCTCACCACATCCCCCACTGTTGTTCCCAGCACCACTCACCACCACTGTCCTCACTGGTTCCACCACCGCCCCTACTGTCCCCACCAGTGCCACCACCACTGTCGCACTGTCCCCACTGTCCCCACCACTGTTCCCACCACGGTTCCACTCTCACAACTTTCTCCACGGCCCCAAGCACTGCCCGACTATCCTCACTGTCCCCACTGTCCCACTGACTCCTCCGCTGTCCCACTGAGCTGTCGCACTGTTCCCACCACTGTCCCCACTGTCCCCACCACTGTCCCCACTGTACCTCTGTCCCATTGTCCCACCGCCGTCCTCGCCACCGCCTTCACCACTGTCCCCACCACCACTGTACCCTCCACTGTCCTACTGTTTCCACCACATTCCCACTGTCCCCACACCACTGTCCCCACCACCACCGTCCCCACCACTGTCCCACTGTCCCCACTGTTCCCACCATTGTCCTCACCATTGTCCCCACCACTACCGTCCCCACCACTGTCCCACTGTCCCCACCACTGTCCCGCTGTCCCCTCACCACTGTCCCCACCACCACCGTCCCCACCACTGTTCGCCCCCCCCCTCGGTTTTTTTTGGGGGGGGGGAGTCGAACCGCTAGTGACCCCCCCCGGTTTTCGAGTTCGCGAACCCGTAGTGACCCCCCCCCCTTTTCATGATGAACGGGGGGGGGGAGGGTTTCGAACCGGTAGTGACCCCCCCGGGTTTTCCGGGGGGGGGGGAGGGGTTCGAACCGTTAGTGACCCCCCCAGGTTTTCCGCCAGCAGCGGTAGAACACGATCTTTCGAATATGACGATGACGATTCCGATGACGATGACGATGAGGATCATGATGATGAGGATGATGGTGAAGATGATGATGATGATGATGATGATGATGATGATGATGATGATCATGATGATGATGATGATGATGATGATGATGATGATGACGATAATGATGCTGCTGCTGCTGAGACGACGACGATTATGATGATGCTGCTGCTGAAGATGATGCTGCTGATGATGATGCTTATGCTGATGCTGATGCTAATGCTGGTGCTGCTGCTGCTGCCGCTGCTGCTGCTGCTGATGATGATGATGATGGTGATGATGATGGTGGTGGTGGTGGTGATGATGATGATGATGATGATGATGATGATGATGCTGCTGATTATGATGATGATGATGATGATGACGATGACGATGACGATGACGATGACGATGACGATGATGATGATGATGATGATGATGATGATGATGATGATGATGATGATGATGATGATGGTGGTGGTGGTGGTGGTGGTGGTGTTGATGATGATGATGATGAGGATGATGATGATGGGTTGTGGTGGTGGTGATGGTAGTGGTGGTGGTGGTGATGATGATGATGATGATGGCGGTGGTGGTGGTGTTGATGAGAAGGAGGAGGAGGAGGAGGAGGAGGAGGAAGAGGAGGAGGAGGAGGAGGAGGAGGAGTATCCGGAGGAGGAGGATGAGGAGGTCTTTCTCCTTCTCCTCTTCCTCCGGTTCTTCGGTTCTTCCGGCATTCGCCGTCCCCCGCAGGTTCAGCACCAGGTCGTGAAGTGCGACTGCCAGCCCAGCCCGACCAACAACGGCCGGGGGGGTGGGAGCGGGGGGGCGGGGGCGCTGGGGTCGCCACTCCCCACCCAAAGGAGGGGAATTTCTGACAAAACTACCAGTTCTGCGAAGGGGCCACCACTGAGCAGTCCCTCGGGTGCGTCACGGTCACCGCTAGGAACTGCAAATGTGGGACACCCATTGCGAGGGACGCACCCCAACTCGCAGCCTGTTGCCCTGAAGGAGGGTGAGCGCGGGAGGAGGGGGCAGGGAGAAGGGCGGGGGGAGGCGGAGGGGGACGAGGGGGAAGGCCTCTCAGGGGTTTACCTCTTGAGGGCCTCTCGGAGCCTCTTTTGGGCGCCTAAGGGTCCTCTGGGAGAGATCCTGGGGCCGTCCTAGGGTGGAGGTCTGGAGATGTCAATTCGTGCTCCCCCTCTTGGGCCCTTCTTTGGGCAGTCTTGGGGGCTTCGTAGGCCCAGCTTGGGGGCTCTTGGGCCGTCTCGGGGCGATACTGCGGGCCTCATGAGCTGGGACGCTGTTGGACCGAAAAGCCGATACTATCATTAAGTCGGGCGTGTCCCTCTACAGGAGGAATATTCAAACTAGTCCAAAAATAATCAGGGGACTTGATTATTTGGAAATATTATCAACTTCATGCAGCATCAGTACGGGTTTGGACGATGGTCAGCCTCGTGAGCCAGCTCCTGGGGCCTACAAGACGGCCCGAGAGGCGCCCAAGGACGGGCTTCAGGACGGTGCCTGCTACCGTTTTGGGCAGCAGCGGAAACGTATGTCCCGAAACACGCTCCTCTTGCGTCTGAAGTCTTGCGGGGCGCGCCAGGAGGTCAGACACCCCCCAGCAATCAGGGACTCTGGGCCCCGGGCACCCGACAGAGTATACAGAACACTCGTATTTCGGATTGAATACTCGTGCCGACCGGAGGAAGCTCCACTCGGTGCCTGCGGAAGGGTGGCGGACCATGCTGATGTTCGTGATGATGAGGATTGTGCTGGTGCTAGCGATTATTCTCCAAATAGGCTTGCCCTATAGGAGTTCTAACTCAAACCCTACTAGTTGGTCCGTTGCCCCCCCCCCCCCCCCACACTTCCTATGCCCCCCTCCCCTAATTCCTATGGCTATGCCTATGCCTATGCCTATGCCTCCCCCTAACTCCTATGCCTATGCCTATGCCAATGCCTATGCCTATGCCTATGCACCACCTTTGAGCGCTCCTATGCCTATGCCTATGCCAATGCACCATATCATCATCGTCATCATCACCATCATCACCCACTATCTATTTGGAGTCAACGCTGGCTGATATGATTAGCATGTTGGCGATGAGGATGCTGTTGATATTGGAGTTGTGGATGATGAGGACGGCGACGACGACGATGACGACGATGACGATGATTTTGATGATGATGCTGCTGCTGATGATGATGATGCTGGTGATGATACCGATGACGACCATGTTGAAATCGAAGACGATTACGATGACAATTCGGATGTTTAGGACGAAGATGATGATGACGATGACGATGCCGATTACGATTAGGATGACAAGTCGGATGATTAGGACGACGATGGTGATGCCGATTACGATGACGATTATGATCTGAATGAGGATGGTGACGATGATGCTGATGATGATGATGATGATGATGATGATGATGGTGCTGGTAGCCGCTGTGGTGGTGACGATGACGATGTCGATGACGATGGCGATAATGATGATGATGCTCATGATGCTGCTAACGTCATGCTGCTGATGATTAGGATGCGGATGACGACTACGAGGATGGTGATGATGATGATGGGAAGATGATGCGATGCTGGCGATTATACTTAGGATCATGCCATGATGATGCTGATGATGCCGACGGCGAAGGCGATGATGAGGATGATGCTGCTGATGATGGTGATGATGATGATGATGTTGCTGCTGATGATGTTGAGGATGTGGGTTCTGATGATTATGACGATGATGACGGTGACGATGATGACGATGATGATGGTTTTGATATTGAATGCTTTGGTGATGATGGTGGTGATGTCGATGGCGGCGATGATGACGATGGGGATACTGATGATGGTGACTATGATGATGATGAGGATGATGATAGTGACGATGATGATGATGATGATGATGATGATGATGATGAGGGTTATGCTGACGAAGGTGATGATGACGACGATGATGGTTGTGATGATGACGATGCTGATAATGATGATGCTGAATATGCTGATGATGATGAAGATGATGATGACGATGATAATGATAATGATGATGATGCTGATGATGATGATGATGAGGATGATGATGCTGATGATGATGATGATGATGATGCTGCTGACGAGACGACGACGACGGTCACCATGCTGCTGATGATGGTGATAAGGATGATGATGATGATGATGATGATGATGATGATGATGATGATGATGATGATGATGATGATGATGATGATTATGATTATGATTATGATGCTGATGATGCTGCTGCTGATGATGATGATGATGATGATGATGAGGAGGAGGAGGAGGAGGAGGATTATGATTATTCAGAATAATAGTAGTAGTACTACTACTATTACTAGCACTAGTGCTAATACTATTACTGATAATAGTGATAAGACGAAGAACGATGCTGCTACTGGTGGTGCTGCTGCAGCTGATTATGATGATGCTGCTGCTGCTGCTGCTGCTGATGATGATGATGATGATGATGATGATGATGATGATGATGATGATGCTGAGGATCATGGTGGTGGCGATGATGATAATGATGATGCTGATGCAGATGCTGCTGCTGCTGCTGCTTCTGGTGACGCTGCTGCTGCTGCTGCTGCTGATGATGATGATGATGATGATGATGATGATGAGGAGGAGGAGGAGGAGGAGGAGGAGGAGCAGGCGGAGGATGAGCAGGCGGTGGAGGAGGAGGAGGAGGCTGCAGCGGCGGCGGCGCTGGCCGCCAGCGCGCTGGCGCGGCGCTGGGGAGCCGAGCTCAGCGTGGTTCTCCACCAGGGCACCGCGCGGCAGCTGCGGCGGTCGGGTCTCGGGCGCGACACCGCCGAGGCGGCGGCGGCGGGCCGGCTCGCCCCTTGCGAGCGGGCCCGCCGAGCGGGCGGCCGCAGCCTGGAGCCGCGCGCCCGTCTCGTGCTGGCTCTGCGGGGTCGTCGCGTTGCCCGTGGAGCCTGGGGCTCGTTCGGCAGCAAGTCATGGGGGCCTGGTATACCCGCTTGATTCCGTCTTTGGCGTCGATCAGCGTCTGGGAGTCGATGAGATGGCGCCGATTTAGCGTCGCTCAGCGTCGATTTAGCGTCGACCAGCGTCGATTCGTGTCGATTCGCAGGAGCCGGCAAGATGGTATGGGTGGCGCCCATGGGTTGCCACCGAAGGCTCGCGGGCGCGCGCTCGGCAGAACGCTTCGGGGCTTGAAGGACGAGGAGGAGGAGGAGGAGGAGGAGGAGGAGGAGGAAGAGGAGAAGGAGGAGGAGGAGACCGTGCGGGCAAAGTTTATGTACAAGTCGACAGCGTCTCGACTTTTCAGTCTCCCTCCCTCAGAAGCCAGCGGCGCAGTGTACCTGGATCAAGTCTGGCCTCGGTGGAGCCCAGATTCTTGCACGTGTCCACTGCCTCCCACCCAGGTGTTCGGCCCTCTTCCCACATAATCCAAGATACTGTGGATGTTCATCTTGCGCGGGGGAGGAGGAGGAGTAGGAGGAGCAGGATGAGGAGGAGGAAGTATACTGAGGATTGAGTAGGGGGACGGCAGAGCGCCCCGGGAGGGATCCTCATCTTCATCACCGGCAATCTCATCGTGGACGACAACCAGAACCCGCTGAAGTTTGCGCAGGCCCTTCCGACCCTGGCCTTGGCCTCATCGTCATGGTCGTCGTCGTCGTCGTTCACGTTCTATTCATCCGTCCTTCGCCTCTCTCGCTCCTTCCTCCTCCCTCGCTTCCTCCGTTCCTTCTCTCTCTATTCCCTCCCTCCTCCCTGCCTCCCTGCTTCCCTCCCTCCTCCCTCCTCCCGATTTCGTTTGTACTTCCTCCTTCCTCCTCGCTCCCTCCCGCCTCCTCGTCCCTTCTCTTTCTCCCTCTTCCACCTCGCTAGCTGGACCTGAAAGGACCATCAGCGGACAGTGCCATCTGTTATTTAATCGCTTCACTCATTCTGCCGGCCTAATTCGCACCACGGCGGCTGCATGGTGGTGTGCTCGTACCCGTGGGGAACGGCAGGGCAGGCAGGACTGTCCTCGAGGAGACCTTTGGAGACGTGAGAGAGCCGAAAGACTGCCCCAGAGGGCGCCAAGATGGCTCAAGAGAGCTCCAGCAGAGTTTCGAGACGTACATGGGTTGTGGATCCGAGCCCTCGTGGATGCTTCTTGGGGTCTCTTCGGAGGGCTCTCGGGAGCCTCTGGGGAGAAGTTTTGAGGCCACTGGGGAGCTTCTTGGGGGCTTCTTCGGGGCCTCTTGGAGCACCCCAGGGGGCCTGTTGGGGGTCTTGGGAGCGGGGGCTTCCTGGGGGGCTCTTGGGGGACTCTTGGGGGGCTCTTGGAGGCTCGGATTTTCGGTTTGTGTTCCCTCTCTTGGTCCCTGTGGGGCCGTCTTGGGGCCCTCTGGGCCGTCTTGGGGCGCTCTTAGGCAGTCTTCGGCAGTTTTGGGACCCTCTTGGAGGCCTCTTGGGCCGTCTTGGGGTGGTCTTGGGGGCCTCTTGGGCCGTCTTGGAGCGTCGGGAAAACAGGGAAGGCGAGAACGCCCAAACCCTTGAAAAACCTAGGACAGCCAACGGCTTTTGCCTCTTGGGGCCTCTTGGGAGGCCTCTTCGAGGCCTCGCGGGACGTCTTGGGGGCTCTTGGGTCGTCTTTGTGGCCATCTTGGGCGTCTTGGAACGATCTTTCGGTGACTCGGGGCCCTCTTGGTCCGTCGTGGGGATCTTTTGGGGCCCTCTTTGCCCGTCTTGGGGCCCTCTTGGGGCTGAACATTCATCCAGGAAGCCGCGGGGGAGCCCAGAGGGCACACGGGAAGCCCAAAGGAAGCCCAAAAAGAAATTTCGGAAATAGGGGTCCAGGTCCTTGAACAACTCTTCAGTACTGAGGACCGAGGCTCCAGGGTTCAGGTAAAGGACCTGAGAAAACGCCCACCCCGTGTCCAGAGGCACGGTGGCGGATACTCATACATGTATATATATATATATATATATATATATAGATAGGTGTGTGTATGTATATATATATATATATATATATATATAGGTATGCATCCCTTTTCCTGCACTCAAGCCGGATCCCTAGCATCCGGGGCTTTGGGCCCCCTGGACGCCCTTCGAAGAGGTCCCCCAGCCCTGCCGCGCAAAAAAGCTCACGAGGCCCCCAAAGGCTTCCAAGAGAGACCCACGAGGGCCATGAGAGGTCCCCAGGAGGGCCCGAGATGGCTCCAATAAGGCCCGCAGGGGGCCCAAATTCCTTCAGAAGGCCCCAGCAGGGCCCAAGAGTGACCCATGACGATGCAAACGGGCTTCAAAAGGACCCCCTAAGACGGCCCAGAGAGGCGCCCAGGAGGACTCCAGAGGTTTTCAAAGCCCTTGAGAGGCATTCGTGAGGCCCCCAAGAGGTTCTTCAACGAGGAGCCTCCGCGCAAAAACCTGCGGCAGACGGGGAATGGTTCGCAACGCCAGGGGAGAGCGATGATGAATGAGAGGAGCGATGTGGAACGATCAGGCGTTGCTTTCCAATGCCTTGCATTGCGCGACTGGGCAACTTGGGCCACGAGCGAGCCCGTGTGGTGGGGCCACGAACGTCAGTCCTTTACATGGTCGTGCGTCTTCCAGAGGGCGCCTTCACACGAAATGCACCAAACTGACCCGAACCCCGGGTTTGCAACAACATTTCCCAGACATCCGTGGCGAACCTGGATTTCGGTGTGTTTCCAGAGCCAAGGCGGCATTGCTGGCGGCAATGCTTGACATTGCATTGCTTCGTCTTCTGTGGTATTGCTTGGCAGTGCGTTGCTTCGTGTGGCATTCATTCGCATGGCTTACCATTGTTTCGCATTGCGCACCTGGACAGCCTGAGCCAAGAGCGCGCCAGTATGTGGGCCACACGACGGCTGAACGATCCAAGCGGTATCAAACATCGACGCGCAGGCCGTTACGACACCTGCCTGCGCAGGATCCAACGAAGCAGGCACGCGTTTTTGGTTCAACATTTGTTCGGAGCCTCCAGGTGCCGTTCTCGTCGCCACGTCATCGGGCCCGCCTCGAAATTCAAATCAAAACGCACCCCAAGAAAATTTCGGGTGGCGCAGGAACATCAAGGGGACTTGAAAGGACACGGCCAAGTTCCAAAGGCCAACGAGGATGACGCCAAGTGCCGACACATGCGAAGCTTGAAGGACCAAGGTGCGTGGCGCGAAGCGCCAACGCAGTCTTGTGTGTATCGGAGGTTGGGGGGTGAGATCGAAGTGGAACGGAGAGCCCCCCTACCGGGACATCGATTTCGTTTTCGTGTTCGTGTGCGCCGTGCGTGCGGGCGAGGCGAAGCCGGGCGAGAGAAAGTCTCCTGTGGCTGAGGCGCGGCAGGACCAAATGATTGCCGTCCGGGCGTCTGGGGGCCCGCGGTGTCCCGCCAGGTGTCCCGCTGGGGTCCCGTGTGGCTGAGGCGCGGCCGGACCAAATGATTACCGTCCGGGCGTCTGAGGGCCCGCGGTGTCCCGCCGGTGTCCCGCCCGTGTTCGGTCGGTGTCCCGTCGGTGTCCCGATGATGATGATGCTGATGATGATGATGATGATGCTGATGCTGATGATGCTGATGATGATGACGATGGTGGTGATGATGATGATGATGATGATGATGATGATTGTGATGATGATGGTGCTGAAAACGATTATGATGATGATGATGGTGGTGGTGGTGGTGGTGATGATGATGATGGTGGTGGTGGTGGTGGTGGTGATGATGATGATGATGGTGGTGGTGGTGGTGGTGGTGATGATGATGATGATGGTGGTGGTGGTGGTGGTGATGATGATGATGATGGTGGTGGTGGTGGTGATGGTGCTGATGATGATGATGATGGTGGTGGTGGTGGTGGTGGTGATGATGATGATGATGATGCTGATGTTGCTGCTGCTGATGATGATGCTGCTGATGATGATGATGTTGATGATGATGATGGTGGTGGTGGTCGTGGTGGTGGTGGTGGTGGTGATGATGATGATGTTGATGATGATGTTCATGTTGTTGATGATGATGATCGATTGTTGTTGATGTTGTTGCTGCTGATGTTGTTGTTGATCGTTAGGGAAGCCGATAGTGAGATCGATAGTGAGATCGATTGTGAGATCCATGGTGAGATCGACAGTGAGACCGGCCGACAGACATCGATGATGAGATCGATTTTGAGATCGATAGTGAGATTGATCGAGTGAGATCGATTGAGTGAAATCGATAGTGAGATCGATAGTGCAAGCGGGGGCACGGGCTGCGCCAGCCTTTGCCAGCGCTCCAGTATTCTGTGACAACATGCCGCCGTTGGCTGCCGTTGGGCAGGTTGGGCAGGTTCCCAGGGGGAGGGACGAATGGTACCAAGGCGCCAAAGAACGAAGGGTGATGTAAACAACTCGACACCGACGCTCCCAAGAGCGAGCGGCAACGCAACACTCTCCATTGGCATCGTCACAACAACAATCACAACTGTTGCCCATTGCTGGGACCTCCCCCCCAACCTCCTTATCACCCGCAGGGTGGTCGTATAGGTATGCATATGTGTATACACGTTGGTAAACATATACATCCATGTGACCGTTTTTTATTCTTTGTTCTGGCGATCGGCGCGGGCCCTCGCACCCCCTCCCCCCCCTCCATGAAGTGGATCTTGGCTTTGCTTTTTGGGCGCCTGTTTCGCGCGGGTGGCGTCTCCCCCCACAGGACCCCGTGCTGCAAACAGTCGCACTGAGCAGAGGTAGACACATGCATCCATCACACGTGTATGCCTACATTCAGGAGGAAAAAAAACACACAGACACAATTAATCGTCGACTCCCAGGAAAATATGGGAATTGGGGGAGAAGACAAAAACCCAGAACATATGGGAAACTATGGGAATTGGGGGGGAAGACGAAAACCCAGAAAATATAGGAAAATATGGGGAATCTTTTTGTTTGTGTGTATTTATTTGTGTGTCCTGGGGCCCCTTCATACATGCACTGGGGAAGGGCCTGGGGCCCGATGGCCCCTGCCCACCGCCCCCCTAAAGTTGGGTGCGGCAGGGCGCTCCAGCCTCCAGTCGGGCCTGTCCCTCCACAGGAGGAATCTTTTAAAAATAGTAAGGAACAGTCCAGGGACGATCTTTTGGACTATTTTTTGAGGCTCTCTGATTCTTTTTTGACTATTGCTCATTTCTCGTCCACAATCCGCCTGTAGGGGGGGCACTTCCGACCTCAGTGTAGCAGGGCGCTCCAGCCCCGATCTGCGCGCTGGGTGCTCCCGCCGAGGGATCTGGACGGCTCGAGACGGCCGGCGAGGCTCTTTACCAGCCTGGAACATATCCCTATCCCTATGCTGGGCACCTCCTCATCACGATGCCAATCTTAGGGATTCCCTTATTTTTTGAGGGCGAATCCCTAGGATTGTCCTCGCCTTTTGGCGTGTCAACCTTAGGGATAGGGATACGTTCGAGGCTAGTAAAAGCCTGGGGTGGGGTCGAGGATGGCCTCAGCACGGCCCACGAGGTCCCCAATCGGGAGCCTTGGGACGGGGGTCAATGCAAACGGGGGTCAGCCAGAGCGCCCGATCTTGCAAGATCCTGCAGGGCCAGGGTCGCACGGACCCGGGCTTGGGTCCAGGATCCTGCAGGAGTTTGCTGGCTCCTTCTCATTGACCTGGGTTTGGGTGCAGGATCTCGCAGGATAGTGCAGGATCTTGCAGGGCCTGACTGACCCAGGTCTGGATTGACCCGGGTCAGAAGATCCCCGACGCAAGATGCCGCATTAGTGTCACACAGGTGCCTCCAGGAGAGCAAATCTGCGGCCAGAGATCGTATTTTCCATTCGGTTGTCAATTGCTTTCGAGATCCCGCTATTCTTGGTTCCCGAGCCCCCGTGACTGCCTAACAGGCCCCCCCA